GAGCACCCCCAGACTCCATTCTCTGTGCCTCCATGGCCATCTTAGAGGACATGATGAGAATGTTCTGCTGTCTCACAGATGGAGACTCCAGCAACTTGGCCCATGTGATACTTGAAGACACAACACCACCTCATGGGACCTGCAGGCACCATGCGAGGCCATTAGAAATGCCAGCAGGAGGCAGAGGCACCTTGGTGTGTCTTACAAGTGTACCAGGCAAATGGGACAGGCAGGCAGGCCATCATTCTGCACCTGCAGAATCAAATCCCCAATCACCTGACATCGGATGTGTACCAGCTGCTTGGACATGGGAGAGCAGTCCTCACAGCTGTCGCACTCCAGGCCCGTGCTAGCCCCAGGGAGCTTGGGCAGCCTCAGGGCCACTAAGAAGCCTCTGTAGATGCCCACTCCACTCTCTTCCTAGGAACAGAGTCCACATGATGTACAGCTCCTGAGCACAGGGAGGGTAGACCCTCTACTCCTACTCTACACAAGACCCAGCTTCGGTCACCGAAACAGAAAGGCAACCCTGTGGACTACAGTTCCCCAGGATTCCCACTACCTGGGGACCGTATCTGGTCAATCCCCTCCCCTTGCATGTGGACACAGCTTGGGAACAGAACAGGCTAGCCACATGCATGATCAGGTCACGACACACAGTCAAGGATGCCAGCCCCGACAGCTGATGTATCCAAGACTCTGGAACAGCAGGTCATGGAGAAACTCCCAGGGACCTGGAATAAGCCACAACCTGGTGCCAGTGTCACCTGGCCGGGACTCCTAGGTGCACAGACTACAGAAGCCCTGAGATGTCTCTCTGGCCCAACAACCGGTGAGAAAACAGGACTTGAATCTTATAGCTGCAAGGAGCTGCCCACATCCAGGGTGCCTGATGGGATCCCCAACCCTGGATCGAGGTCCAGCCCTGTGGACACCTTGCTTTGAGCCTAACACGGCCCTGAGCTCAAGCAAGCCAGGCCAGAAACATACAAATAAACCTGTGAGGTTGCAAACCCTACACTTGTGACAATTTTGTTCCCCAGCAGTTCAAAACTAACACAGGCAACAATCTTAGTTCCAACCCTAGGTGAGTAGGTCAGAGACGGCTGGGCACAAGTCAGCTCCTGGGGTGACTTCACCCCTAGTCATCCCTAGGCGTGAAGTGTCCAGCGAGGCGCAAGCACTCAGCACCTGCAGCTTGCTCTCATGCCACTGCCTCCACTGAACAGTGCCTTGCTGTTTTCAAGGGTTCACAGGCCCTCCCAGCCTTCTGGCTCTGACAGCTGCCACACCGCCCCCGGCCCCGCCCTCTGGCCGAAGTCGAGACTCCAAGCAGATTCACATGTTTGGGGGGTGTGGGGAAAGGGCGCAAATGCCAGTCTAGACAGTCCAAATATAGAATCTGCAGGTCAGAGTCCACCACTACCCACCAGCCCCGTGCCACCAACCACGGGTGGGGACTGCTGTTGGACAGAGTCCAGCAGCGCTGGAGGACTAGGCAGGCTCCAGGCTCGTGCATATGCCCACTTTCTGGATTCCTCTGGGGATCCTACCCCATGCTACAAGGCTTGCCTGCTCCACCTGGCCCCTGCCTGAGTGTGAAGGTCTCCTGTTGCCCACACAATGTGAATCGTTCCTCCTAACCCACACGCAGCACACGCACAACAACCAGCACACAGGTGGGCCTGAGTGGACTGCAGATAGCAAAGAGGCACACAGGTCTAGAACAGACATGGGAGGAAGGAAGGTCCTTGAAGTCCCAGCCAATGCTGGCACTGACTTCCCTGGCCAGCTGCCTCACCCATCGCCACACCACCTCCAGGAACCTGCAGACTGATGGCTTCTCCAGGACCCCCTGCTCCAGAGACCAATGTCTATCTAACTGCAGGCGTCCAACAGCAGCCTCACTCCCTCGTGTGGGTTACTCTGTCTAATCCTCTGTATTATCCTCTGTCTAATAAGTGGTTAGCGCAGCATAGTTCTTTAAAAACGAAGACACGGGGCCCGGTGGCATGGCCTAGCGGCTAAAGTCCTCGCCCAGAGCACGCTGGGATCCCATATAGGCACCGGTTCTAATCCCGGCAGCTCCACTTCCCATCCAGCCCCCTGCTTGTGACCTGGGAAAGCAGTCAAGGATGGTCCAATGCTTTGGGATACTGCACCCGTGTGGGAGACCTGGAGGAAGTTCCTGGTTCCTGGCTCCGCTCGGCACAGTACCGGTTGTTGCACTCACTTGGGAAGTGAATTATCACACGGAAGATCTTCCTCTCTATCTCTCCTCCTCTCTGTATATCTGACTTTATAATAAAAATAAATATATCTTAAAAACAAAACAAAGACACAAGGCCCAGCGCGATAGCATAGCGGTTTAAGTCCTTGGCTTGAAATGCGCCAGGATCTCAAATGGGTACCAGTTCTAATCCCAGCAGCCCTGCTTCCCATCCAGCTCCCTGCTCGTGGCCTGGGAAAGCAGTTGAGGGCAGCCCAAGGCCTTGGGACCCTGCACCTGCGTCGGAGACCCGGAAGAAGCTCCTGACTCTTGGCTTCGGATTGGCTCGGCTCCAGCCATTGCAGCCACTTGGAGAATGAACCAATCGGCGGAAGATCTTCCTCTCTGTTTCTCCTCTTTCCAACAAAAATAAATAAATCTTAAAAAAAAAAAAAAAAAAAAGGAAGACACAGGGCAGCTCATCTAAACTCACAGAAACAGAGCTGGGATTTGAACCCAGGCACAGTGAGATTAACCACTACCCAGCAAGTACAGGTTTCTCGGAAATCAGCAGACATGGCTGGTTTGGGGTCGACTACCTAGGAACCAAGACACACAACCAAAGCAGGGGTCTGCATGAATTCATCCACTGATACACTTGGCTGGAGCCCCGTGGCAGCCTTGAACTCTGGCCAGGCTGTGTCCTGGGACAGGCACGGCAGGCAGCCAGGAGCTCCCTGACCACAGGGCAGATAGCTCCTGGATGACTACAGGTTGGAAGGCAGGAAGTGGGGACCTGCCAACCAGGATTCCAGGGTGTCAGTGGTGGCAATTCAGGATCTTCCCAAAACACCGCCTGCCCTTAGCCCCAGCTGCCTACCCTGGAGCCCCCGGAGTTCTCCCACACATGCCAGACCTTCCAGGGCCTGCTCCAGAGTGCCCTGCCAGCAGCAGGTTTCACCTAAGCTTTCAGCATCCACAACCTCTGCTCTGGGGCACAGCTGGGGCTGATCATGGGGTGATCTCGCAGGGCATGGAGTGAAGAACACGCTGAAGAAAGCTACTCTGTGCCTGTGCTCCGCCTCCTTGCAGCCAGATCCTGCCATGCCCTCTCCCTGCTTCAGCCTAGAACCCGGACAGCTGAGGCTAAGAGATGGCCTCTGACCTGTAGGGCTCACCCTGCTGCTTTGGGGGAGGCGATCTAAGAAGTCCGGTGTCAGGATGTGAGTGGCCTCATGGCCAGGGCCAAGTACTCAGGGCCCGGGGGACACCCAAGACAGGGATCAGAGGAGGGCGTCTCGTGGGTGTCTGTAGGCATGGAGCACGAGGCTGGGCCACGGAGGATGGGGGATGTGAAGGGGCAGGGGCAGGGCAATGAAGTCTGAGTGGGGAACAGGTTGTGCAGAGGCTGGCAGGTGGGAAGGTTCCTGAGAGTGAAGAAAGACAACAGGCGGCATGACTGACAGCAGAGAGGTGCAGGGGTGCGGGTGTGTGTGCGTGTGTGTGTGTGTGTGTGAAGGAACAGGGAGGGAGGGCTGTGACAGCTGCTGGCAGCTGGGGAGGCAGGCGAGTGGGAGCTGGGGGCCATCAGGAGTCTTCCGGCAGGGTACCTGCAAGATGCCAATGGGGTTGGGAGGTGGCCTGGACATTCAGGAATTCCCTGGAGGCCCTGGCTCCCAGCAGCCCTGTGGCACCTCCCCAGCCGTCACTCCTGCGGGCCCCAAGTCTCCAATCTCACCCCACCCTCCCTTTCACACACCTCTCTGGCTCTCCATATACCTCCCTGATGCCACAATGTTGTAGCTGGGCCATAGGGCAGAGGAAGGGTCTGGACCTAAGAGGGTCCTGGCAGGAGATGGGGAGAGTGATAAAGGGGAAGGACATAGCCAGGCCTCCAGAAAGCTGTTGGTACTTTAGGGAAATGACATATGGGGCAGGAGCAGTTCAGCCAGCCACAGGGAACCACTGCCCAGGGCAGCATTTCCCACCCAGCCGGAGGAGCCTGGTGCCTATGTCAACACAGCCCTTGGAGACTATACCCAAGTCCTGGGTCCAGGACTGGGCATGCAAGTGGTGCCCCACCAAAGCACCCCTCCTTCTGCCCAGTAGAACCTAGCTTTCCACACAATCTCTGTTCTAATCCTTGGCTGAAGATCTTGGACCCAAGTCGTCATTGTTCGAAACAGCGCCACTGTAAGTTGCAGTGGGTTATCCACACCTGGGCAGGAATGGCTCCATCTGACTCCTTTCCCAAAGTGGATTCTGCTGCCGCAGGAGAGAGAGGGCAGGGCTAGGCTACTGGGGTCTAGGGTGTGGGGGTGGGGGAAGGGGGGACTGCGGAAGCCGCGAGGAGGCTGGGGAGACAAGAGCTGGGTGCAGTATGTGAGGGATGGAGCAAAGCGCTCACTTCCAGATGCAGGGACTGGTTGATCAGACACAGCCCGAGGGGAACCCCGCCGCCGTGGCCTCCAGCCTTCTCTTCCCCCCCCCCCCCCCGCCCCACTCAGGTACCCCTCGTGCCCTCGCAGCAACAGCAGCAGCAGCCTGGAGCACAAACTTTCCGGGACAGGAACCCCCCCCCTTGGCTCCCCCTTCTGCCGTCGCCACCCTCGGCAGCTGGCCAGGGGCTCTCGGGGATCCGGGCTGGGGAGATCCCCGGGGGTGGGGGTGAAAGGGCGAGGACATTTAGGGACGGGGGCAGGGGATGCGCGGAGACAGAGCGATGAAGGGGCAGGAGCCGCGGGGCTCCAGCTGTCCGGGGCGGGGCAGGGGACCCGGGCGGGCTTCTCACCTGCAGGACACGGTGATCTCCACCTTGGTGGCCGGGATGCTGCCCGCCAAGGAGTCGAACTCACTCAGCGACGCCATGTCCTCGGGCGGCTCCATCGCCTGCCGCGCCCCCCACCCAAAATGAGTCAATCAATTGCTGCGCGACTTACGCCTTCTGCCGAGCCACCAGAGCCCCGGCTCACCCCCAACTCGGGAGCCGCTCCGGGAGGCAATGGGCGGAGAGAGGAGTGCCAAGAGGGGGCGTGGGAAGCGAGGGGGGCGGAGGGAGCGGGGCCCACGGGTGGGGAAGGGGCGCTGGGGGCGCCGCGAGGAGCCTGGGGAAGCAAGGGCTGGGGCTCCGCGCGGAGTGACGGAGAGCGACGCGGGAGACCCGGAGAGGGGCGTGGGTGGCCGGGGCGCGGGCAGCGCGGAGCCGAGTGCGCCCGGGCTGCGCCGCTTGCGCTGGGTCTCGGCGCAGGCGGCGGCGGGGCTGGGGCGAGACTACGAGCGCCACCTCCTTGGCTCGGGCTCCGGCTCCGGCTCCGGGGCGCCCGGGCTGCGGGAAAATCAAATCTGCCCGAAGCCGCCTCCCGCCTCCCCGGCGGGCTGCGTGCGGGGCCCGGGAGCGCCGGAGGGGCCGCCCGCAGGGGTCGGGGCGGGGCCGCGGGCGGGGTCTGCGCGCGGTGCCAGTGCGAGCCTACAGGGCCCGTGAGTGTCTGTGTGCGTGGCGGGCGTGGGGACCTGGGGGCGATAGCTCGGCTGCATCTCCCCCTTCCCTCCTCTCCGCTCCCCTCCAAGGTCTCCATCCCTGGCGGAGGGACAGGTGTAGGTGCGAGAAACCCGGCGTGGGTGCGGGGAGATGGGTGGAAATAGGGTGTGTATGCGCCGAGCGCTTTCCACCCGGGGCGGGTCTCAAGCCAGCCTCCTTGGGAGTGGGAGACCCCAGGGCCAGGAGGACCAGCCTGCTTTCTCGTGAGGGCCTCTTGGCCCGGGGAGGGTTGGTCGCTTCCCCTAGCCCGCCTCTGCCTCCTGTGGTGTACCACTCAGTTGAGCCAGTCCCCCTGAGAAGGTGTCTCAGACCCAGTCTCCACCAGACCAGGTGGGTGGGCGGCGGGAACTCCCCAGGGCCGGCCAGCTTTATGGAATGAGCGCTTGTTGAGTGCAGGGATGCAAGGGGTGTGAGGGGAGACGAAGGTTCACCTCTCCAACCCCTGTGGTCCCAAGCCACTTGGGTGGTTGGGGGAGGCCTTGTCTCTAGTGGGAGCCTTCCCTTGTGTGCCCCGCTCCTGTGAAGCCCAGGCCCAGGGAATCCCAAGCTGGGCACATAAGAGTGGCCCCTCTGAACCTTGCTTTTAGCAGCAGGACCAGAAGGGGCACCCCAGATGCTGTGTCCTGGGACAGCAAGATACAGCCAGAGCCAGAGGTAAGTGGGAGAACAGATTCCTTATCTGGGGACAAGCCTTTCTGGTTTACTTACAGGCCAGGATCAGCTGGATTTCATTCTGCTACCTGCAACACACAACGGGGACAGTAGGGGGGAGCCTGGGTTTGAAGGACCTGGTGTGGGTCTGGACCCCAATCTTCCCCTCTCGGAATAACCTGGGCTTCCTTTGCTGGGGACACAAAATCAGGCTTGGAGTGTTTGTGTCCCCTCTCCTCTACCCACCTCACCTAGACAATGCTAGAAATCCCATTTAGGAATAGGCTGTGCATTCATTGTGTGAATGTTAGCTGAGTACTTGCTGTGTGCCCAGCAGGTGCTGGGGCAACTTGGGAAATCTTGTGGACAGCAAAAACTGTCATTGTTTTATTTTCAAAGAGCTGGGCCAGACACCATGCTTATGACCATTAAATTGTCAATTAACATGGTATATATAGTTCAGTGGTTTATACTCTGTTCACAGGGACCATATATGAGTTTAAGGGTTTGTTTTTTTTTTTTAAAGATTTATTTTTATTATTTTTTCATTGGAAAGGCGGATATACAGAGAGGAGAGACAGAGAGGAAGATCTTCCGTCCGATGATTCACTCCCCAAGTGAGCACAATGGCCGAAGCCAGGAGCCTCTTCCGGGTCTCCCACGCGGGTGCAGGTTCCCAAAGCTCTTGGGCCGTCCTCGACTGCTTTCCCAGGCCACAGGCAGGGAGCTGGAAGGGAAGCGGGGCCGCCGGGATCAGAACCGGCGCCCATATGGGATCCCGGGCGTGCAAGGCGAGGACCTTTAACCACTTGCGCCACCGCGCCGGGCCCAGGGTTTTTTTTTTTTTTTAGGATTTATTTATTTTTATTGCAAAGTCAGATATACAGGGAGGAGGAGAGACAGAGGAAAATCTTCCATTCACTGCCCAAGTGACTGCAACAGCCCACCAGTGCTGTGCCGAGCCAAAGCCGAGAGCCAGGAACCTCCTCCAGGTCTCCCATGCAGGATCCCAAGGCTTTGGGCCGTCCTCGACTGCTTTCCCAGGCCACAAGCAGGGAGCTGGATGGGAATCAGGGCTGCCAGGATTGGAACCAGTAGCCATATGGAATCCTGGCACGTTCAAGGTGAGGACTTTAGCCACTAGGCCACCATGCCAGACCCAAGTTTAAGTTTTTAAAAATGATAATGGACAGGGTAATGTGACCCACGCGTAAGGAAGCCAGTTCCTAGAGAGGCTACACGTCTTGTCCATGCGCACCCAGCTGGGAATTGGCAGAGTGGAGACCTGAACCCTGGGCTGATCCCGCCTTAGCTGCCCAACTGCCTCTTAGGCTGAGGCCAGGTGTAAACCTGTCATGTGACAGCATTTGGAGCAGCTTTCAGGAGGTTAGTCTTAAGATTCATTTATTTGTTTGCAAGGCAGTGTTGCAGAGAGAAAAGGAGAAAGACAGATATTCCATCTGCTGGTTCACTCCCCAAATGTCACAATAGCTGGAGCTGGGCTAAGGCTGGGGCCAGGTCAAAGCCAGGGGCCAGATACTCCATCTGAGTCTCCCACATGGGTGGCAGGAGCCCAAGTACTAAGAGTCATCATCCGCTACCTTCCCAGGCGCATTAGCAGGATGCTGGAGCAGCAGGACTTGAACAAGAGGCCATGAGAAATACCAGTGTCACAGGCACCAGCTTAACTTGCTATTCCACAATGCCACACCCAACCCCACCTCTTCCTAGAAAGATGTAGGAACCTTCTATGCTACCTGCATTCTCTCTTAGTCTTACGTTTTCCATGGCTGGCTCTTTGGTAAAACAAACTCTTTGGGAACCTGCTTTGTGCCAGCTGGCTGTACAGATGGGGAGAGCAAGGACCTGGGAGCACAGGAGAGCGGCCCTCAGCTCTGCCCACCTGGGTAGGGACAAGGGAGGGTCAGGAGGCATTGCTCAAAGGGCTGAGGGTGATGGCTCTGTGTGGCTCCTCTGAGACAGATGCCAAGACAAAGACGTGACTGTGAGCAGTGCATCAGGGGCACTCAAGATGCGCTGTGTGAGGAATTGGGAGAGGGTGGAAAGACAGCCAGACTGCTGTGCAGAGCTATAGGCTGTAGGCTGTTCACCCCAGGCAGGTCTGGGAGATCTGAGAACACATCTCAGACCCAGCCCTGCAGCAGAGCAGGGCAAGAAGCTGTGAAACAACACCCCAGTGCTGGCTCAGAGGCTGGAGGCTGTCCCTGCAGGGCAGTCATTTGCACATGGGGCTTGGGGGGATCTAAAGTGGTAAAGGCAAGGGTGGGCTGGGGCAAGGATATGGTGGCCCCAGGTGATGACCTGGTACCTGGGCTCCTGGGGTTGAGCAGGCATTCCTGGTGGGGACAGCATGATCAAGGGCCAGAGAGCCAGGATGGGCACCTTGTGTGACCAGAGCACACAGGGTAAGATCTGAGGCTAGGACAGGAGGTAAGATCACGGCCTCACTTAGACACATAGCTTTTCAGAAGGAGGGATGTTTCAGTCACATCAGCCAGTGGTCCCAGAACATAAAACTGGAGGAGGAGGCCTAGGGCCTGAGGCTTCCATTTCTTCTGCTCAAATACATAGCTGATGGTTCCAACGCAGTCCCCATGGATGCTGCCACCGTTGGATGCCACTAAGGGAACATGATGGTGCCAGGTCACTGTGGTCACCTGTGATGTCCACAGTGGGACCAGCAGGTGCAACAGACATGCTGTCTGGTCCTGCAGCCAGATGAGAGCCAGCGGTAGCCCTGCTCCACCCCCCACCACATGATGGCTGCTTGGCCTTCCGATTTAGAACTTCAAGCACGTAAGGGGTCATGCCCAGAAAATCTGGAATACTTGGCATCAGCGTTCTGCCTTTCGCTATCTAAGGCTGCAAACACACTCTCATCTGACCTAATCCTGGTGCTAATGACGGCAGAGCCATTTCCAGAGGCAGCTCTCAGCATCGATAAAGATAAGGAAAAGCACCGCTGGGCTTAGGAGACAGCTGCCGACCCTGCCACGCCCCCTGTTCAGCCCTGTCTGAGGCTGTGGATGGAAGATGAGGGATGTGAGAGAGTGGGAGGGAGGACATCTGTGGGAGAGGGTGATGGGGGCCATGTACATTGAGCCTCAGAACAAACTAGAAGAAGCCATCCTTTACTCTGGGTGGATACATGCAGGAGCCGGACTGGGCACGGGGGTTGCTGGGCAGTGTATGAGCTGCCTGGAGCCCCCTCTTAGCAGCCATCACACATAGCAGGTTCCAGAGACAGGAAGGAAGGACAGAGGGTGCGGCAGGAACTTGACACCGCCAGAGTGATAACCAGGCAGTGTCTGATCCCAACCATTAATAGAAATGCTAGAAGGGGCTCAGTTGGAGACCATTTGGGTGAAGCCCTGTCTCATACTGAAAAGTTTAAAGAGGGGGATGGATGATAGGCTGGTGGCTGCCTGGGCCTGCCTGTTACTAACAGCAAAGTCAGCACCCAGGAGTAGCAGAGACCTGCCTGCCTCCCAAGTTGTGTGAGAAGCCATGCTCTGACGGGGAGAGGAAGAGCTGGAAGCCAGCCCTAGGCCTCTGCATGCCCCTGACCCATGTTCCTCCTACGATGCTGCCAGCTCCCTGCCCAAGGCGCTGCCATCCCCACTTAGCCCCAGCAGGCTCAGCCCACAGTTCAGTGCCAGGAGCCTCCCTGGGATCC